TTTGAAAAACTTTTTTAGGAATTTCAAAGTTGGTTTGGTTGCGACCGCATAGCTCAGCCGGTAGCGACTAACTGGACGATGTCCGATAAACTTTTTTGGGATTAACTTTTAAAATTTCAAGTAATCCTCATAGAATCTGTTTCGGGGACTTGATATTCCACTTTTTGAAAATATCCAGACCCTTTTAAAGGATCTGGGATTGGCCAAGAACATTAATTGTTTCAAAATGTTCTAGATCCTGTGATAGTAAAAATAAAACCTTAACATAATTGTATGGTCCATGTGGCCTAAAAATCTCTGGTCTAAAAAACTCGGCCAGACATACAAACCTCCCATTCGGCTTATCTGCGTATCTTATCTCTCTCCATCGTTCGTAAAATTGTCTTCCTCCCCAATGAAAGAGGACCTCCCCGTATTCCGAGACGTCTTCTGTCAGCCCATCATCATTAATCATCGTCACAGTCTGGGCAGACAGTGATTTTGCGATTTTCCGGACCAAGAATTTATTGATTTTCCATTTTCTTGGTACTGTTTCTTTTCAAATCTCATTAGGATTGGAGCAAATTCTTTTTTGGTGAATAAATTTATTTTCAACTTTGAGCCAATTTTTCTAAGTTCCTGACAAAGATATCCAAAAATGGTTAACTGAAAAAATAATTATCATTTTATCATAAATATTTTATAAGTTGATAACTTCTTGATGTCTGTTACAGTAACCGTAATAATTTGACTCAACGTTCCGGACCCTTTTTTTTGTTGAAATTCCGCCAAATTTTTGTGTCAGAAGAGTATGTATAATGGCAGGTGCGTGGGACACAACACAATTCTCTTATCGTTGTAGTTTGCAAAAAAATTATTCTGTGTCTACAACTTTTTTTGAAGCTCTGAAAATCTTAAAATAAAGATATCCAACGAAAAAATATCAATTTTTCTGTGAAAAGTAGTCAAATTTATAGTCCTAAAAAGGTATTTCAGAATTGAAAGAAGAAAATTTCAGGCCATACCAAACAAAATGACAGCTTCATTTTTGTAATTGACAACTGCTTTGCCAGATTCCATTCTGATGAGATATGCGGTTTGTAACCAAACAAGTGCTATAATTTGCCTCTTTATCTCGCTTCGTTGACTTTTCTCAAAACAGTTGTCAACTACAAAATTGAAGTTCTATGTTTGTTTAGTACACTCTGAAATTTTCAGACAAATTAATAAATTCTAGACTACTTTTTCCGAACTCCAAATTTGTCTAATTTCCACTGAAAGAGCCATTTTTTCTTTGTGAGCTCATTAGCTCAATCAGAGCATTTGTTCATCATTTAAGCCCCTCCACTCGTGTTCATAGGGAGTCAAGAAATTCAAATTCCTGTGTTCAGAACAGAGGAAGATAAGAGGGATTTAGGATTAGCTATTCAGAATTTCTTGAGTAATAGGCCAAAATCGTGACGTGGCACTGAAAGTCTTTGTGACGTCCCAAGAGAGAAAAGAAAAGGGCTTCTTGAAGGAGAACTGATGAACCCAAAGCTTGATTTTTTTGAAACTTTGAATTGCTTGAAATTAGAATTTTTAGCTTTTTTGTCACCTATCAAAATAATTTTAATTTCCCCACATGAATTTGAAATTTCATAAAAAGTTATGTGAAAGTTAAAGAAAAAAGCTAAGCAAGTTTCTCTGGTTTTCAATAATTGTTCTGAAAATTCAAAAGTTTTCCAATTAATCTCGGGAGTTGTATTCTCAAAAAATATATATTTATTTTTGAAAATTTTGAATAAAATCCAAATTAACTTTCTTAAAGGTGGGGGGACAGGAGATTTTTCGTAGTTTTTTTGTAGCTAGAGTATGCATTCTACCGTAACGGTGTACAACGCTTAATGTCACTCTGCGTACAGCTGTCGTCCTCGCCTTTATGTATGCAAACGGGCGTGCGTTTTCTCTTTGCCCGCGTGGCTCAGTCGGTAGCGGCGCCGCACCCTCAATCATCGTCCTCACAAGTTCAACTCCTCGAGGGGCATCTTTGAACGGAATTTCGAGAACATTATTTTTTTCATGTCCCCCACCTTTAAATTTGAAAAAAACCCCTAGGAACACAACCTGAAATTTCCAGAAAATTGATCCCAAAAAAACTTTTTTTTCTAGTTAATCCTGATCCCAAGAACATCCCTTTTTTCTCTCTATTTCACAGTAATCTGTCTCTATAGAAAATTTGCAAAAAAGTACATTCGAACTTTTTCTCTTCTTCTGATTTTCCCCATTTCTAGACTCTTTCCCTTGACTCCAATTACATCGAAATCCCTTCGTTTTCTTCTTTTTGGTCTCGTTCTTGTGAGAAAATCGAAGTATATGCACATATTGTTTCCCTCGATTGTCTCGAGATGTTCTAATTTTAAAATGTTTTCTATATTTTAATTTTGAAAGTGTTGGGATTCAGAATCTCTGAATTTCAAAATCTGGAAATTCAGAATTCCAGAATTCCAGAATTTCCGAGTTTCTGAATTTCTGCAATTCTAAGATTCTGAAATTCTGAAATTCTGAGATTCTGAGAACTAGGGAGTCCGGAATTCGCAAAATTTTTAAATTCTCAAATAAATAGTGGCCTAGCAAACCAAAACTAGTCCCTTTCCAAAATTCCAAAATTAGCCATGAGCAATCATCTCCTCCACCCACAAGTTTTCAATTTCCGCCATTTTTTTCTATGCCGGAAATTATTTTTTCCCCCTACTACATACAAAAATGCAACAATAAGAAGTTATTATCATTTATCTGATACGTCATCAATGATTCTCGCTTATCCTTATCATATCCAGCTCTTTCTCTCTCAGACATTTAGGCTGCGCCCCTTTTTCTGTGAGATGAGTTGTCAGGCTTATCAGAAAGAGGAGGAGGAGCTGGAGTAAGGGGGAGACTTGGCTCTTCCCCCCTTGTTTACAGACAAAAAATGTCTGAAAATGTCTGAAAAATAGAAATTCTGTTCTTGTTTCTGTTATATTAATTAGCCTCTATTTTTCGGTATTGACCAGGTAATGTGGGTGGGTTTTTTTTTCGATTTTATACCTTTTTTTTTCGAATTTTTAAAAGTATTTTAGATTATATTTCTAGAATTCAATGTTCTGAAAATTTTGAAAATGCTGATTTTCGAATTTCTGAAAAATCGACGTTTCTAGAAGCTTCTATGTTTGAGTTCTTGGACTCGGAATTTCCATACATATTGCTAAAGATGCTCTTGCCTCAAAATCTTAAACTCTTCTTTCTCCAAATTCTATTCTTGACGTCTTCTTCTTCAACTCAAATCTACGTCAATCAAGAATCCCCAGAAGATTTTTTTTTCGCACTTTCGAAAATTATCGTTTTCTAATTATTGACGTCTTCAGATTCATTAGAAAAACAAGTAGCTCAACAGGTCTACTTTTGAACCATTTATTTCTGTAAACCTGTGCATCCGGATGTCCACTAGTCTTTTTTCCTGGTTTTTCAACTTTTTCCTGGTTTTTTTTAAATGCAAATCGCTGGAAACCGATTTTTCGAAATTTGAAAAAGCGTTTTTTTAGATGCTGACATTCTAAAATTCTGAGATTTTCGAATTTAAAAAATTCAAAAATTTAAGAAGTTCTGAAGATGACGTAAACACTCTAATTGGAAACCAACTGAAACTTCAACTTTGAGCCTATATATCTCGGTTCCTCCAAAAGATATCAAAAAGTGGTAAACTGATAAAATGCTGCTGATAATATAATAAACATTTTGCCTGTTGATTACTTTTTGATATCTTTTACAGGAACTGAGATATATGAGCTTAAAGTTAGGTGACGTTCTGTTAGAGTGTTCACTGTACCTGTTGTATTTCTTGGGCTCCAAAACTTCAATTTCTCAAGATTTCAGTTTTTTTTTAATTATTGACGTATTCAGGTTCATTAGAAGATCAGCTCAATAGATCTACTTTTAAACAATTTTTTCTGTGAATCTGTGTAGATGCCCCTTTTCCTATTTTCTCTTCAGTGTTTTCTTTTTCAAAATTCAAGATACTTTTAGATTCTGACATTATGGAATTCTGCAATTTTGCATATTATGTTCTGAGGACGTGATCAGTCGGAGGTGATCTTGCACATCTTTGTCAAAAAATCAAGTTTCAGACTGTTTCAGACTTTCAGACAGTTTCAGACTGGCGCGACAGCAAAATCGCCCTATCTGTCGCGCCCGCCGCTTATCACCTCCAACTAGGTGCGTCCTGCAGCATAAATTAGGATGTAACTCGCTTCAAAATTGCTCTAGGGATTTGGTTTTTGCACCAAAATGAACAGAAAAAATTATTAAATATCAAAAATGTTGAAAAAAATTTCTGAAAAAGCTGTAGGAGCATAGAGTGCAGACTCAAAGCGTCAACGTTGAGCCGATGTATCTCGGTTCCCGTGAAAGATATCAAAAAGTCGTTAACTAATACATTGCTGATATTATGATAAACATTTTATCAGTTACTACTTTTTGATACCTCTGACAGGAAGCAAGATACATGGGCTTAACGTCAGGTGGCGTTCTGTGAGAGTGTTTACGGTACCGGTTGCACTTCCTTGGACTTCAGAATTTTGTTTCGATTTTTGGTTTCAGACACTTCTCTGGAATCTCTGTGACCTAGGACCCTCTTAAAAACTCTTCCACCATTCCAATTGACGTCTCCTAAAATCTACGTCAATTAAGAATCCCCACTGGGTTTCTTGCACTTATTCTGACGTCTTCTAACTTATTTTCAGCAAAAAGTTCATATATAGTTTCTTATTTCCCATCATTTTATTCGTATTTTGGAGAGATCTTTTTTCCAGAAGAAGCCAGAGAAAAAGAAAACCTCCAATACATTTTTTCAGCTCATCAGGGCTCTCTTGTAAGTCTTCTCTACCCCCACCTGACCGCTTTTTCCCCCTATTTTTCTCTTTCTTTAATCTCTTTTTATTATTTTTTTCTAATTTTTTGCACTAAATTAGATCCTTGCAGTTCTCCTTGGGTCCCTTTTCCGGAAAATGATATCAATTGAGAACGTTATGCATCACCAACAACACCAATCAACAGTTAATGGAGGTACTGGACCTCCAAACGCCTCAAATCAAATTATGAGTAATGGATCTCAAGAGCATCCGGCGATGATTGGAAGAGGGTGAGTCAGGGGACACATCGCGCATTTTTTAGTGTTGGGATTTGCAGAAACTACAGTAGGCTAACACCAAAAATCTAGGTTAAAATCAAGCGATAAAAACAGCTTTAATTTTAATAGTTTTCTATCTTTTTCATTTGATTTGCATTTAAAAAATGCTGAAATTGAGAAATTAGAATTTAGAGTCCAAGAAATACAACAGATACCGTACGCTTTAATATACCGCAACCCATCTTGTCAACTTTAAACCCATATACCGTAAAACCTCTAATAGAACGACACCCGGATCGTCCACTTTGAGTCTATATATCTCACTTCTTTTGAAAGATATCAAAAAGTGGTTAACTAGTAAAATGTTTATCAGGATATCAGCAGGAATTTTATTAGTTAGCCACTTTTTGATATCTTTCACAGAAAATGAGATATATAGGCTCAAAGTGCACGATCCGGGTGTCGTTCTATTAGAGGTTCTACGGTATCTCGGTTCCACTAAATGACATCAAAAAGTGGTCAACTAAAAAATGTTTACTATAATATCAGCAAAATTTTATCAGTTAATCACTTTTTGATGTTTTTGATTTCCAGTGATTTGCATTTAAATAAAAACAATGAAAAAGTTGAAAAACCGGGCAAAAAAGACTAGTGGGCATCCGGATGCACAAATTCACAGAAATAATTAGTTCAAAAATAGATCAACTCTAAAAACGGATTTTTCAGAAATTCAGACTTTTTTGATCGAAATACAGCAATGTTAAAACCCTGGAATTTTTCAGAATCTCTAGACGTTAAAGCTTCCGAATATCCGAAAAATGCGAAAATCAAGAGTTTCCGGAATTTGCAAAATTCAGAAAAGTTCAAATTCTTTTTGAATTTCTCGAGCTTCAACTTTAAACTCATAAAATTTGAAGTTTGCATCTCAATATTTAAAACTTTGGAGTCCTGAAAACGTAGTCCAGAATTTTTCCAATTTGTCTGAAAATTTCAAGGTATACTAAAAGAAATTAAAGCTTCATTTTTGTAGTTGACAACTTTTTTTGTAAAATTTCAACAAAGCGAAATAAGCGACTTTAAAGTGTCACCTCTCTCGTAACAGTCATAATTTTTACACTTTTTTGGTTACAAATGGCATATTTCATAAGAATGGAATCTGGCAAAAAAGTTGTCAATTACAAAATTGAAGCTCTTCTTTTGTTTGATATACTCCAAGATTTTCAGATAAATTGGAACATTCTGAAATAATTTTTCGGTACTCCATAGTGAGACAATTTTCAACTGAAAAGTGCAAAAGAAGTTTTTCTTGGTTTCTCTTTTTTCAATTCCGTCTATCATTTTGAACATTATGACCCCAATTTGAGCATTTTCACTTCATTTCTGACTTGTCCAACAAAATATACTCAACTTTTAAGACATCCAAAGTTAACTTTTTTCCGGTGCTTAATCTATGTTTCCTATTTCGAGGAGACCTAAATTCAAGTAACTTTAAAACTACGACTTCCAATCCTCTTATCTCTTCTCATCCTTATCTTATCTCAAAATTAAAAAAAAATTCCAGAATATCGAGCGATCTCCCCACTGCTTATGTGACGTCAACACCGCTTCCGTTGGCCAAAGCGCAACAACTTCATCAAATGCAGCAGATGCACCAAGCACATCTTCTTCAGAATACACCACCTCACATCCCTTACCATCATTATACATCTCAACCCGATTTGAATATGATGGAGAGTCAGCGTCCAGCGGAATCTCCTGAGCAAGCGTAAGTTCTCCTTAGTTTTGGGAATTTTGTTTTTGAAAATCGTCAACTTTGAAGTCCTGAAAAAACAGTCTAGAATTGTCCAATTTGTCTGAAAATTTGAGAGTATACTAAAAAATAGAGCTTCAATTTTGTAGATGACATTTTTTTTTGTACAAATTCATTCAAATGAGATACACTGCTTGTAACTAGAAAAGTGCCAAAACTAGAATTGAAATGACCGCTTTGTACCTTTTCAAACGGCGTGCCCACTAGGCTCTAAAGCAACTGCTCAGAAATTGTGCTCTAGATAAATTTAAGGTCAAAAGAAGATGCGATTTTTGTCCAGACTTTTTTGGAACCCAAATAAAGTTTATTGAGTCGTAAAAAATGAGAAACTCGAAAATGTGTAAAAAGTGTTCCAAATCCGTCAAAGTTTGGGGTTTCTAGCTCCTCTGGAATTCGAGATCCAGCCATTTAAAGTTTAGGCAACTAGAGACGGCGGCTAAGGGAGAGAGCGCAGACAACGAGAAATTATAACAGTCTGCGTCTCTCGAAAATTTCAAATGACTGTATCTAGCTTCACAGAAGGCTTAAAAATGTGGTTTTCTGACTAAAATTTATCATTTTCATGTTCTATATTACTATTTTTGAAAATCTAAATTATACATTTTTTCTCGTAGAAGATAATGCGGGAACATTTTTAAAGAACTTTCCGGACAAACATCGTGACGAACTACCGTAATCCCAGTAGGTGTGAGCCAAGCAAAAACCTGAGATCAAATAACTTTTTGAATGGGTGCCAATTAGGGTTACCTTCAGAAAATGCTAAAGTGTGAAAATAATGGATGGGTGTGATTCAGAAAAAAATGATGGGGAGAGGATTATGGCAACCCTACCTTGGGCTTGGGCAAGTGAAATTCAAAAGGGGGTTGGTTGAAAAAGATATTCCGAAAAGGAAAATTTTTTCGGAATGTTAAAATTTAAAAAAAACATTTTTTGGAAAATTTTGAATTTTTAGGAATTTTAGGAAAATTCAGGATTTTTGGAAAATTTTAGTCATAAAACCATATTTTAGGCATTATGTGAACCAAAATAAAGTTATTTAAAGTTAGTTTTCGAGAGACGCAGACGGGTAGAGTGTCTCGTTGTCTGCGCTCTCTCCCTTACCAACACTCTCTCGCCCCTAAACTTCAAATAGCTGAATCTGGAGTTCCCGATGAGCTGGATATCTCGAACTTTGACGGGTCCTGTTTTCTTAAAAATCAAAATTTCCTAAACCCCAATTTTCAGCGAGGCCAGCAAGAACGCCAGAATCGCCTCCTTATTCGAAGAAATCCGCCTGGAAGCTCAAAACTTCCCCCAGCAACCGGAAGTTAAAGAGGAAGCAATAGACGACGAGGATCAACCAACAGAGTTAGGACCACAAGAAGGACCACTTGGGGTTATAAAAAAGAAGATTCTTAAAAAACGGTACTTATCACAACCTGACCTTTTTGGGTTCCACTTTCAGCAAAGCAAAGATTTCTTTTTTTTTTCAGCAAAAGCGACCTGGCGCTCGAAATGACTGCTGATGACGTCGATGACATTCTAGGCGAATCCACGGCTAATCCATCAAACTTCAACCCTAAGAATCCATTCGGTGGACCATCTCCATCCGGTCTTTCCAACGGATTTGCAGATCTCGGATCGCCCGGATCATCCTCTCTTAAGTCGTCTCCACCTCTCTCAAAGTATGCTCAGAATAACCAAGGGCAGCGTGGATCACCACCTAATCAAGGATTTCCAACCATGTCGCCGTATATGACTCCACAGATGAATAGTCCGTTGCATCCACAACTTCAACAGCAGAATTCGGCGACTAGTCCACCAGTGACAATGCATTCACCAGGGGTAAGTCTTGGGGTAACGGTGTTTACAGAAAGTATAATTACATTGGCCCCTCTAGCGCATCTAGGAGCCGATATATGATCATTTGGTGTTCAGGAGGCTAGAGACGCCAGACGACGAGACACGCTGCGTCTCTAACCTCGAAAACTTCAAATGACTATATCTCGGCTCCTAGATGAGATAGAAAAATGAAAATTGGACAGAAATGTGTGAAATTTTCAGGAACACTTTTTTGTAAAAAATAGTTGAATAATTTAAAAATTTATAGCTTGAAAAAGTATAAAAATGAAAACAGTTTTGAAAACGCTGAACCAGGAACTTGGCAACTTTGAGCCAGTTTATCTAGTTTCCTGTGAATTGTATCAAAAAGTGGTCAACTGACAAAATGTTAATCAAAATATAAAAAAAAAATTATCAGTTGACCACTTTTTGATATCTCCTACGGCAATTGAGATAGAGGTAATTAAAGTAAACGGCGCATTTGCCATCGTAGCTCAGCGGTACCTCCATCGGGGGCCCAACACGACTAGTTCTGCTCAATTCTAATTTTTCTCTTTTTTTTAAAGTCCATGTCCCTTTAAGACCGATTACTATACAAAACTGAGCAAACATAGCAAACTTAGCCGTGTTTAAACTCATTTTGAAGCTCTGAAAGTGAAAATTTCAAAATTCAAAGTTTCATATAGCTCGGACAAAAATGAGCAAAGGTACGGTGTTCACAAGCTAGACAGTACGCTGACATCATAGAATTAAACCTAGTCATGCGATTGCTCATCTCTAAGCTCCGCTGTAGCTGTCATGCGGATCAAAACATCACATGTGTCTCCATGGGTAACCAAGAGGAAGAGGTGCTTTTTTTCTCATTTTTGTTCAAACCCATTTTAGATTAGAGAGTTAGGACTAATGAAAAAAAAGTAGAATGTATTTTTCTAGATACCTAACTTCAACGTCCTGATACAGTAGTCTAGAATTTTTGAATTTGTCTGAAAACTTCAGATTATACTAAACACAATTAGAGCTTCATTTTTGTAATCGACAACTTTTTTGTACAGATTCCACGAAGCGAGATAGGCTATCTAAAAGTGACGAAAATCTTATTCCGGTGATAATTTTTATACTTTTTTGGCCTTTTTTGGCCGGAATTTGGAAAAAGCGCTGCCTATTACAAAATAAAGCTTTTATTTTGTTTGTTATGATTTGAAATTTTCAGACAAATCGAAAAATTCTGAAATACTTTTTCAAGACTCTAATGTTGACCATTTTCCTCTGGAAAAGTTAAAAAAATATTTTTTTTGTGTTAGAATTTTTTCCCGGCTCCAGAGAAGCTATATTTCAAAAAATTGAAAATGTTTAGTTTCTGAATCCCTAAATTTTAAATTTTTTTGTGTAAAAAATATTGAATTCGTTGGATTTGGAGGACTTGAAATTCAACAAAGCAAGATAAGCGTCTCTAAAGTGGCAAAACGCCCATTTTAAAAAGTTTGTAGTTTGAAACACGGAGTAGTTGAAATGAATAGATGAGTACCGTAGTCCCCTAGCCAATAGGAGTTTTGTCTGAGCCCTGCTATTATCTTTTCACTTGTTTTCACCTTTTTCATTTCTTTCAAATTTCTGTCTTCCCAAATGCAGGTGAGCACATTTCCTTGGGCCAGGCTAGGCTGGTGCTGAACTAGCCGAACTGCAAAAAATCGCGTTTTGTAGTTCGTACTCGGCTTCTTTTTTGTATTTCGTACCAAACCCTAACTCTCCTTTCTCTGGAATAATGTGTATAGACGACAAAATATTAAATCCCCCACCACAGCCGCCGCTGAGCTGCTGGCGGTTTGTTTTTGATGAGTTGTAGATCACATGAAAACACAAATATGTAGTCAGTTCTGCCTTGCCATTTTTTGTAGACTTATTTTTGAAATCAAATCGGAAGAAGCTTTTTTGAGGGGTTTACACATCTGGAATCAACCCACAGAATTCGATTTTGGCGTTTTACTTTTCAGAAATTCCAAAAACACATTCATCAGCTTTGAGCCCATATATTTCGGTTGGTGGGAAAGATGTCAAAAAGTGGTCAACTGATAAAATGTTTATCATAATCTCAGCAACATTTTATTAGTTGATTACTTTTGATATCTCTAACTGGAACTAAGATATATGAGTTCAAAATGGGCCATGGGTAATGTTTCCCTAGCAGTAGATTTTTGAAAAATCAGTTCCCTCTTTTAAATTTGAATCAGTAAGTGCACTTTTCGGACATCAGCCATCATTTTTCCAATAGTGTAGAATTGAAGATTTCTAATCATTGTGTTTGAAAGAGTGCATTTTAAGTATAGCTAATCCGGCTCCACTCTTCCGTCCGTCTAGCCCAGGTTGAGGTCTTCAAAACATTTTTTCTTCCATTTTTCGTGAAATTTTTAAAGATTTTCCTTTGATCTGGAAACTGGTTGTAACCTGGAGATTTGAGCTTGTGGGCCCACCGCTGGTGGTGCCGCGCCTGCTCAGCCACAGTTTACTTAAACCTAGCTTATCTCGGTTGCTATAAGAGATATCCAAAAATGATTAATTTATAAAATGTTGCTGATATCATGATAAACATTTTGTCATTTGGCCACTTTTTGATTTCATTTGCAGGAAACGAAATAAATGGACTGAAAGTGGCAATGGCCAATTTCCTGGATTTAGTGAATCTCACTCAAAAATGTTATCATTTTTACATATTTTCAAGCTCTACATTTTAAATTTTGATTTTATCGAAAATATTGAGTTTGAAGAGAGTTCTAACTACTAGATTTTTTATGCGATCCATCTTTGGAAGTTTTTCCCTTGCCCCGTAATTTTCTTTTTTTTTCGAAAAATTTTCCCCAAACTTTTCCCTTTTCCTCTTGAAAATGTGTAGTTTGAGTTGAGTAGTGGGGAAAAACATTTATATTATTTTTTAAGCATATAATCAGAGTACCGCAGTCCCTTTTAACCTTTCGGAGCCCTGCATTTATTTCTTGTTTTCGCCTTCGCTTTTCCCACAACACGAGTTTCTTTGGATATGCACGTGAGCATATTTGTGCTCCGTTGCTCCGTTTGAAGCGGCTGATCTACCCGGAGCAAAGAATTGTTCTGTAAATCGTGCTCCGAGTCTTGTTCTTTTTTTTCTAGAATAGTCGGAATTTTTATACATAGAATATCAAAATTTTAAGTGTTTTTTTTTTCAAATATCAACCTATTGATTTTCAGCAAGTTCCCGAATTCAAACCAACTATAATCAACGGAGTTGTCATGAATCCATTGGCTGGTCATCCACCACTCAACCCAGTTCACCATCATCTTCCACATCACACTCGCTTCCTCCAACACCAACAATCGGCGCCGAATCTTCGTCTTGGAACTCCAGATGACAGTCAGAAGCCCCCAATGCCATTCCCATACAATAATGGACAGAATTTCGATATCACTTTGGTTCAGGAGTTTGATATGTGTGTGAGAAGTGTGATGATGGCTTCGAATCGTGTCTATTGCCGTCATGTTTATCGTCAATTAACTGCTGAAGTTTCGGAATTGTACGCCAGAGTTGCTAAGAATCAAGTACCAAAGAAGGCGGTGAAAAAGATTGTGGCTGCTAGACAACCAGCCACTCATGGAGAGAGAATTGAGCTCGAGAGACAGTGTGAGTTATGGTAATCCTGACTGCCTAGGATTTCCAGAGTCATGAAGTCTAACTTTTAGTTTTTGAAGTTAAAGCAGGCCAGACACCAAAAAAAAGTTTTCCTGATATTTTTCCTAGAGAACCCCCATGAGGGGTTGAACTCATGACAGGCAGCTCAGGGGTACAGCGCCGCTACCGGCTGAGCTACGGGGGTGCGAAGGCGCCTGACGACCGATGGGCTACATAAGCGCGGGGCGATTTCGCCCCCCGAACTGTCCCCCGAAATTTTTTGCTGGGTCGCCTCCTTTATTATTTTCGTGAATTTTAATGTGCCCAAAAATTTGGAAATAAAAATTCCAAAATTTTGAAATTCCCACATCATGGAAAATTTCGCATCCCTGAAATTCCGAAAATCCATCACATTCCATTCACACTCGGAATTTACAAAATTTCAAAATTCGGAAACATTGGATTTTTGAAAATCTGAAATTCAAAATTTCAAAAAATCGGAAACTTCGAAATTCAAAAATCCTAGTAAAAAAACTCTCAAGTTCGCAAAAATATGGGAGTTTAACCCCCCCCCCCCCCCCCAAATTGTATGAAATTCAAAAATCGGAGATCAAAAAAATTAACTTTTTCAGTCAAATGTCTCTCGGACGGTCTGGAATCTCGTCAATCTCCACAACTCTACGAATCGATTCTCAACTTTTTGTACAAGATGCGAGTGGCCATCCCAGATGCCAATCAATAAAAAAACCAATTATCGATTTATCGATTTTCGATTCTAAAACTGCAGGCAGTCATTTGTGTACCACCCAATTCAGTTATTGATCTCTAAAACTATTGCATGCGAATCCCTTTTTCTCTCTTTCTCTCTCCCTCCAGATATCTCTCGTCTCCTGGATTACCGTACCTGCTACAGTAATCCTATGTCTCCTAGTCTATTTTTCAAATAGTCAACTCCACAAAAAAAAATCTCTCATCATGTTCTCTCGTCACCACCCCGAATTTTTTCATGTGATCCATTTTTTCAAAGTAATAATCAAAAATTATATTTTTAAAACTCCAAATTTTACTTAAAATTCCCACTTATCCTTCTAAAAAACTCTGAAAATCCCCCCAATAATTTTTCTTTTCTCACTCTGCATTGAAATTTTCGATTATGACTATTTCCAAAAAAATAAATATTTATAATTACAGATTTTTTTTTCAAAAGTTACAGAATGTTTAAAAAGTTAGAAATATTACAAATTTCCAGAAAACTCGGAAGTTCAGAAAATAAGTAATAAAGAAATTCAGAAATTCAGAAATTCAGAAGTTCAGAAATTCAGAAATTCGGGAATTCAGAAATTCAGAAATTCAGAAATTCGGGAATTCAGAAATTCAGAAATTCAGAAATTCGGAAATTCAGACATGAAGAAACTCGGAAATTTGGAAATTCAGAAATTCAGAAATTCAGAAGTTCAGAAATTCAGAAATTCGGGAATTCAGAAATTCAGAAATTCAGAAATTCAGAAATTCGGAAATTCAGACATGAAGAAACTCGGAAATTTGGAAATTCAGAAATTCAGAATTTCAGAAGTTCAGAAATTCAGAAGTTCAGAAGTTCAGAAATTCAGAAATTCAGAAATTCAGGAATTCAGAAATTCAGAAATTCAGAAATTCGGAAATTCGGAAATTTGGAAATTTGGAAATTCAGACACGAAGAAACTCGGAAATTTGGAAATTCAGAAATTCAGAAATTCTAAGATTCCGAGATTTTGAAATTTTGAAATTCTGAAAGTCTGATATTCTGAAAAATTTTGAATTTCTGAAAATCTGGAACATATTTTTTTAGAACTCAAAACTTTTCTTTTTACTTCATGTATTCAAATAAAAAGTTGAATACATGAAGTAATGATAGCTGACAATTTCAAAACCTTAAAAGTAAAATAAACATTGGAAAAAATAGAAAAAAGTAAATGAATAGGGTTCTGGAAATTTCTCAAAACTGTCTGAAAATTTAGAATTTTCAAGAAAAAAAAGAGAATACAAATAAGGAAAACAAAAATTGGAAATTCGAAACTTCCAGCATTGACAATTGCTTCAGGATACTATATCTGAAAATAAATTACATTTTTGAATTCAGAATAAAATATAAAAAACCTATTTGGAAGCATTTGGAATCTGGCTGACTGATTTTGAAGATTTCGAACTACCCGAATCATTTTTCGAACGAATCCAGCTTTTTGCACGAGATAGAAGGTTCGACTTTTTCTTCGGGGTTTCAGCTTGCTGATGCGGCAAACATGAAACCGATGGAAAGTTCTGGAAATTTTAACTTTGAGCTTATTTCGAATTCAGTGATGTGTTTAGCTTGTTGATTGCTTCAAAATGAGTGAAAACCCGGTTTTGTTTAATTTTAATTTCTTTTGAGGATCCATGCGCCTTCAATCTCGAAAAATCAAAATTGAGCAAAATGAGAAGTGTTTGGGCTTATTTTGAAGCGCATAGAAATTCACAAACAGCGTAGCTAGAAGTCGCGAAAGGCAAATATCTGATTTTTCTAGAAGAACATTTTTTGTGTGTACTCACCATTGTTCCCTCCATATCTGGGAAGCCAACAACTTGCGCTTCTGAGCCTGTTTTGGCTTTCAAGGTCAACAGAAAGTTTAAAGCATTCTTGGTCGCTGGATGAGACTCCTCCTCCGATTGGCCAATGAGAGACTTCGCTGTTGAGAAGAAATTTCGTTCATCCTGACATCCAAATGTTTGGTTTCTCCAATTGTAATATTCTTTAGTTGCATTCCAAGTCGTTAGCTCCAGAACATCCTCATCCAAAACAATTTTCACGCATTGTGAACAGTTATCCGGCTCATTTTTGTCATCGTTCACATCGGCATGATCAGAATGCGCGATATCTCGAAGAACGGAGAGAGGTTTTGAGTAATCCAGATTGTTCGACATTCGGAAAAGAATCAAGAATTCCTCTGCAGAAAGTTCTCCATCCTGGTTGATGTCGGCCTGAAAAACTGTTCAGTAAAGACTCTCATAGAACACCCTCTCTAAAATTTGAGCCCATTTAACTCGTTTCCTAGGAAAGATATCCAAAAGTGATCAACGAATAAAATGTTTATCGTAATGTCAGTAACATTTTATCAGATTACAAAATTTTGATATCTTTCATAGCAACTGAGATAATTGAGCTCTAAGTAATTAGGCTCCCATTGCTACCTTCTCCCCCGCCCTTGGTATTTTTGAGCCCAATTATCTCGGTACCTCTGCCAGATATCAAAAATTTGTTAACTAACAAAAAGTTTAGGATAATATCCTACATTTTATCAGTTTATCAATTTTTGATATCTTTCATGGGAACCAAAATACAACATTTCAAAGTGACTAATTGAAGTGGGGGCCAAAAAAGTTGGTTACTTTGAGCTCAATTATCTTATTTCCAGTGGGAGATATTCAAAATTTGTCAACTGATAAAATTTTTTTCTTAATATCACCTACATTTTATCAGTTAACAAATTTTTGATAGCTTTTATGGGAACTGACATAACTTAGCTCGAAGTTTACTGTAAAAACTTTAAGTACTCACCCCATCAAATATATCGCTCAAAGTCATCGTATCGATCATCTTCATTGTGTTCATAAAATATCGAAACTCTTCGAATCCCATGAACCGGTTCTTTGCATTTTTGAAGGAATAATATATATAAATGAAGAATTCAATCTGTTTTCTTGAAAACTCTTTGAATTCCTCCAGGATGTAGTTCCTTGGACCGGGAGCTGGAAAAAAGAGAAATTTATGGGAACTGAGCTCCAAAATTAGTCACCTATATGTAAGTTCATTGCATGAAGAAGTTCCCTCATTGTTTTTCTCCATCCTTCCAGTACTGGTACGTCTGGAAGTCCGGGAACGTACTTGGAAAGGAGGTCTTGGTACTTGCGTCCTCGGTATTTCTGAAAAATTGGGAATTATTGGAGATTTCGGAGGGTAATTATATTAAAAACTTCGGGAAATCACTGAACTACTGAAAAAGTCAAGAATTTCTATAAAATTATCTAAAATTCTCTTTAAAAAAGTTTCATAAGTTCCCAAAATTTCCAACTTCCAATTTTCAACATGTTCCAAAATTTTCAAAAATGTTTCAAAAATTCCAAAAACACATTAATTGATTGTTGAAAACTGTTAGATATTTTTCTCCGTAAACTCACCAAAGGATATTCGACACCCAGTGAAAGAGGTTCTTCGGGAACCGTTGGCATCTTCTCGACGATGATCTCCATCGTCGAGCTTCCGCGTCTGGGTGGTATTTCATAGACTCCAGAATCTACACCCAAATGAGAATCACGTTGGTTCGAATAATTGCTCATGTTGGTCCTTCCTGATTATTACACGAATTTCAACCCGTATGGCTTGTAGTGTCCAAGTTTGCTGAAAAAAAGTTTGCATTAGTCTACTTGTGTTTTTATATCTTGATTATCTCGGCTGTTAAGAAAGCTATCAAAAAACGGGCAATTAATGAAATGTTTAAAATATTATGATAAATAGTTCATCAGTTGGCCATTTTTTGATATCTCTTACAGAAACTGAGAAAATTGAGGTCGTAGCTAGCAAGCGCCTGAAGGCCGTGGAGCCTTGGTCACTTTGAGCTCATTTATCTCGACTCCTTTGAAAGATATCAAAATGCTGTGAACTGATAAAATGTTCAAAATACTACGAAAAACGTTTTGTTAGTCAAGCGTTTTTCACTATTTCTTACAAGAACCAAAATTATTAAGCTCGGAGAAATCATAACGCGGGCGCAATCCAAAAAAAGAGGTCATAGAAGCTTCGGTTTTTTGAGCTCATTTATCTCGACTCATGGTAAAAATATTGAAAAATGGTCAACTGATAAAATGTGTAAAATATTATGATAAACATTTTGTTAGTCAAGCATTTTTCAATAGCTCTTACAACAACCGAGATAATTAGCCTCAAAGAAATCATAATGCGGGACCTTCCAGGAAAATGGGTCATAGAAGATAAATGTTTTTTGAGCTCATTTATCTCAGTACTAATACGGGATATCAAAAAAGTTTCAATTGACAATATGTTTATTGTAATATCTTTAATAATTGGTTTGTTGACCATTTTTTAATATCTCTAACAGCGATCAAGATAATTGAGGTCAAAGATACCCAGCGCCAGTAAAGAGCCGTGGAAGCCTTGGTCTCTTTGAACCTATTTATCTCGACTCCTGTGAAAAATATCAAAATACTGTTAACTGATGAAATGTTTGAAATCATATGATAAACATTTTATCAGTTGATCATCTTTTTGATATCTCTTACAGGAACCAAGATAATTAAGGACAAAGCTACCCAGCGTCTTAGGCCCCAAGGAAACGATAGATAAAGCAGTAAAAGAACGTTCTAGAAAATGAAGGATGAATAAGAATGAAACAAATTCGAATAGAAAGACAAAAAGGCAGAGACAGAGAGAGAGAGTGAAAGAGAGAGTGAGAGATACAGACATAGGGACCGTAGTACCCTAGTGACTCATGTTTTCTTGTATGCATCCTATGATATTACGAACAAACGATTAGTCAGTAAATGTGTTTACCGGAATGTTCCATAATTTAAAGCATCGGAGATGATGTTATTGTTTTCCGAAAAAATTAGTGTTGAGGCGCAGACCGTCAATCGAAAAATCTCTCTGCGTCTCCACCGACTATGTGCTATTCATTTAGGCTTGCCGCTTCGAGGTACCTACCGTATACACCCTGCAAAAAATACTCTCTAAGTATCTTTTTTTTCAGACAACAATAATAACCGAGGATCCCAGAGGGAAAGCTACCGTAACCTGAAAATTCACTGATTTTCTTCTCGAGAAGCCAATTTTTACCGAATTTTCGAAAACTGTCGTCAAGTCTAATGTTTTGCGTACGCAGACACCAAATTTGACGACATTTCGATTAAATTAGCAAAAAATAGTGTTTCTAAGCTGAAAAATGACGACGAAATCAATGGAATTGTGAGAATTTCAAAATTTTGAAGTTTTAAGGCTTTAAAATTGAAATCTTGATGAATTTTTCAAAAAAAAAACAATCGGAAATTAAAATTTTTTAATGACAAAAAACGCACGAAAAGCGAGAAAAAAAACTTCGGAAAATGAACATTTTTTAGGTTACTGTAGTTTTCGTTGTGGGATTTTCGGCCAATTTAGAAATAAAGAAGGAACAAGCGCGCTCAACTGCACACTCGCACTCTTTTTTGTTTAAATTTCGAATTTCAGACAACTGAAACTGAGTTTTTTGTCTAAAAATAAAAAATCAGAAAAAAAGGGGATCGTGACTCATTTTGAGGATTTTTTTTTCGAAAAATCTCGAATATTCTTGGTTTTTTTTGATATTGGTGATCAATATGAGTCACAAAAATGTGATGAAAAAATTTTTTCTCGAATTTTCCTGAAATTTGAAAATCTAGAACAATAAAGATCGGTTTCATTAAAACTTTAAAAAAGAGGAAAGAAGAGGTAGGGAGCAGGAAAAGTGTATGAAAAATTGAAATTATTCTATAAAAATTGTTTTCAAACAAATCTAGATGAGGACTACTGTACTTCAAGTGAACAAAATTTTAAAAATTAGAGGAAAATTTAACAAAAAAGGATGAATTCAGGAAAATCGATGTTGCGAATCGGGAAAAAATATAAAAAGAGATTACTGTATTTCAAGTGATGAATATCAGAAATCGGGAAGATAAAAGAGAAAACAATCGAGAAAAAGGGGATTACTGTAACTTTGCGAAACAAAAAAAACGAGAATTAAATTCTTTTCGAATTGAAATAAAGTGCTAGAATCGTCCAGATTTTTTTGGTGGTCCCGGTGGCTGGCTGGAGCATTCTGGAGCCTGACGCTTGGTGTACATTTTTGTGGTTCTGAACTAAAAAAATATTTTATACCGATTTTTTCGAAAAAAAAATGCTTCCACACCTCTTTTTCATCAGATTTGTTGGTTCTGCTTCTTCCCACATTTTCATCGTGCTGAAAGAAAAATCGATATTTTCGGAGGTCTCACAAAGACAACCACAGTAACCCCGGATTAATTTTCTAGTGCTTCTCACTACTTTTCACCGAATTATCAAAAAATGTCGTCGAATCAGATGTTTCGTACGCAGTGACCACATTTTGGGTATTTGCGTACCAAACACCGAATTTGACGACATTTCGATTAAATCAGCTGAAAATAGAGTTTTCAGGCTGGAAAATGACGGGAAATGGCTTTAATTCCAAACTTTTGTCATTTTGAAGCTTAAAATTTGAAATCTTGAAGAATTTTTCGCTAACAAAAACTCCTCGAGATTTCAATTTTAAGCTTCAAAATGGCATGAATTGGAATTCAAACCATTCCATTGAATTTCCCGCCATTTTCCAGCCCAAAAACCCCATTTTCAGCTAATTTAATCGAAATACCGTCAAATTTGGTGTTTGGTACGCAAATACCCGAAAGCTGGTGTCTGCGTACACAAAACATTAGATTTGACGACAATTTTTGTAAAAAGCTCGATAATTGAAGTTTTTTTCGAGTGAAAAGCATTGGAACATAGCGAGAAAACAGGAAAAGTAAAACTATGTCTGGGTTACTGAATTTGTCGTTGTGGGACCCTAGAGATAAAAAATTATATTTTGAGCTCAAATTTCGACAAATTCTTGAAAAATCGTTTTTAAAAAGTGCAATGGTACTTATAAAATCGATTTTTTTAGGTGAGAAAAAATGAGAAATTTCGAAAAAAATTAATAAAAATCAATAAAATTTCTATACCCCGAAAAAGAAATTTCGCTGCACTCGAGCCTCTTTCCATTTCAAGAATTCTGCGTATTTTGCTGGATTTTCAAGGATATCCTTCACTTTTGGAAGTCTGGGAAGTCCATATGGCTTCAGAACTTGACTCTTTTCTTCCTTTTTCATTCCAGGAATATACAATTTATGTGGTTTATATCTCTCCAGATTCCAGAATTTTCCAGAGAGATCTGTCATTGGAGGCTCAGATCTCCAGAATTGCCAATCGGAGACGTGCCCTTCTGCATTGGTTTGAATGAAAAGAGAGTCGATACGGAGGAGCCACAGCTTGTGGGCGGGGCTTAATTTCAGATATAGGGCCTTGATGAGTTGGATTTTGTCAGTGGCGTCCATATCCATGCAGAACAAGAAGTGGCGGATTTTGTCTTGGAATCTGGAAATTTATTGATTTTTTTGAATTTTAGAAACGTTATTATGCTTGTCTGAGAAAAAAAAAGGTTAGAGAGTATTTTTTGCAGTCTTAGTACGGTAGCGATTTCGAAGCGGAGAGCCTAAATAGCACAAAAACGGTGGAGACGCAGACACTTTTTCTCTGCGTCTCAACCTTTTTTTTCTCAGACAAGCATAATAATTCAAACTTTTGAACAATAGAAATTTCGAAGTTTTCAATGTTCAGAATTCTAAAATTTTGGAATTTTCGTTCGAACTTTTGAATTCAATTACAACCGAATTTTTCAAAAAATTGTCGTCAAATCTAACGTTTCGTACGCAATGGCCAAATTTCGGGTGTTTGCGTACCAAACACAAAATTTGACGACATTTTGATTGAATTAGCTGAAAATAGGGGTTTCATGCTGAAAAATTGAAATATTGTAGAAATAATTAAAAATTTTAAAGGAATCAAAAAGTCAAAAATTCAAAAAAAAGCGAAAATTCAAAATTTTTTGAAATGCGAAAACTCGGCCAGCTTGAGTTTTCTAGGCCATGAATTAAAAATTCTACTCACAAATTCACTAAAGCATCCGGTGTGACCCTCTCCTTGTCGCTGTCCCCCAACTTCATTTTTCTCCAAAACGCCAATGTCTGAATTTTAACGCCATCAAGGTCTTTGGAATGCTCACAGATGTGCTTCCACATCTGAATTTCGACGTGGCAAGGTACGGTAGCTTCTGGTGCCCAGCTACGCGGTTTTTGAGCTGGATTGGCTTTTTTGAACGACCAGCCTTGAAGAATGCTGCCTCCATCGTATCGCATTGATATGATTGTAGCTGTTGGATTGATCGGATCGCGGCAGTGACGGAGGAAACTGAAAAAAATCGATAATTTAGGAGAAGAAAATCGATAAACCCTTACATCGATCGGATTTCCTTCGATATCGGAAGTCTAAATTCCCGAATAAGCTCCAAAACTTGAATCGGAGAGAGGGCTTCGGTTTTGTACAAATTGGGAATCATCACCTCGTGAAAACTGTAGAGAAAAGTGAAAATTTATTGATTTTTAGGCCGCTCACTGATATTCGATCTCAAAATATCCATAGTTTGGGGCCACGAGCCGTTTGAATTCTTTGAAACATTTTTTCAAGGTTGGAGGGTTTTTATCGCCGGATTTTTCGCCGATTTTCTCGCTGAAATTTTAGATTTATTCCAGAAAAATTCACTTTTTTTTTCAGCCATACTTATAGACAAATTTCCATAGTTTGTCTTCAGTCGTTTGGTCAAAAATGCGTCTCGCCTCAAGAAATCGCTTGGACATGAGCTGGAAAGTCAATAATTGATAGTTAAAATAGCTTTCTAACATGACAATCGAGTTTTGAGCCGAAATTTCAGATTTTTGTTGGAAAAATGCAATAAAATGCACTAAATAAGTCTTAAATTTGATAAAAATTTTGAAAGTCTCTCGAAAATTCGGGAAAATCGACGAAAAATGGCTGAAAAATTGTCGTGAAGATGATAGAGAATAGAGAAAAGTTGGTCTCGCCACGAAAAAGACAAAAAAAATGACAAAAAGGGTGCGGATAGAGCAGCTTTGTGAGGGTGGCAACTCCAACTCTTTTGCGTAAATAGTGTATTTGTGGGACGTTTTCTTTTAGAGTTTTTCTAGAGGATAAACGATGCAAATGGACAAAAGTACACACACGTGGGTTCAGGCGAGGGGGTCAGAAAGCGCGCCCCAGTAATTTTTTCGAAAATTCTCAATTGGCTGCTGAGAGTTCGTTGACTGACAATCATACTTTAATGCATTAGGCCGAGAAGACGAATTTTTTTTCAATATTTTTCGATGATTTCTTTCGTTTTCGCTCGTTTTTTCATGACATATAACAAGAGAGATAAAAATTATTATTAAACCCAATTGATCCATGCGACTTCTCACGATGATCCATCCGACTTCTCATGTTCACAGCTCGTGTCGTTGTTGTCTTCGCAATCGGATGCCGGATTCTGGTTGCTCTGAAAATAGAACGAATTATTGAATTGCTTCTAATGAACAATTAATAATTATGGAAGAACCTCAATGCATTTAATATCACCTAAGGACATGACATCCGAAATACATATGAGATAGTATTCCTACAAATTTTATCTAAATGTTATGTCAGGGTTATAATAGCTTCTACTGTACTGGTAGAGGAACTGGGTCAGGTTCACGGAATTACCCAATAAAAGGGCCGTAAAACTTCCAATAGAAATCCCCTCTCCTTCCCATTCAAATTCGACTCGAAAGCCAGCTTTCGCTAAAAAGTGTTTGAAGCGCCGGAGGCGCGGCGAACAGGCTGGTATCTCTAAAATTTTATTAATTGAAAAAAATTGTGTATCTCTTATAGGGATCGAGATAATTGAGCTCAAAGTTGAGCTAATGCATCATCCATATTCTAACAATTAAAAATCCTTTAATTCATTCATTTCTCTCTATCAAAAAATCAGTTCACTTCTTAATCACCGATTTGCCTTTATCACTTTTGATTGCTTCCGTCTCCAGGATTGTCGACTCATTTGCGCCTGCCTTATCGTTCGGTGGTGGTCCATTGATTCCAATTGAATCCTGTTTGAAGAACCGTCCATCTGGATTCTCCCAATCGGCGGCTGGAATTGAGGGCTAAAAAATAAATAGATTTTCTCTTTTAAAAGTTAAAAAAGTACATCTGGATCCTTTGTTTCCCAGTCAAATCGAGAAGTTAGTTTTTGACCTTCGTTGAGCATCACTTGCCACAGAGCTTTGAAGACGAGGCTGGAAATGTGTGTATGTATCTCGGGTTGTTATAGAGTTATCAAAAAAGTGTAAACTGATAAAATATTTACAATTTTATGATAATCATTTTTGTAGTTAACAGTTTTTTTATATCTTTAACAGGAATTGAAATAAATGAGATCAAAGTAAACATGTTTCCGTGGCGTCCCATCTCTCCCGCTTCCCCGGGGTCCTTGTTCACAACCTAATTTATCTCGAGTCCTAAAAGAGATATCAGAAAACTGTCAACTGATAAAACGCTCATCATTTTTGATCAAAGTTTTATTAGTTGGCAATCTTTTGATATATATTTTACAGGAACCGAGATACATTGTTTCAAAGTAACCAGCGACGTCTAGCGGGGAGAGACGACGCTAAGGGAGATTGATGTCTTCGAGCTTAATTATCACAGTTTATGTCTAAGATATCAAAAATGTCTTAACTGATAAAATGCTTCTCAAGTTATGATTAAAATTTCCGCAGTTTATCACTTTTTGATACCTCTCACAGGAATTGAGATAATTGAGCTTAAACTGCCTGAGCTCCCTGGGCGCTCCATCTTCCCTTCCCGAGCCCACACTTCAAAAAACTGGGACAAATACGCCCAAAAAAATCTTACTGATAATCAGGTCGCTGATAATAATCTAATTTTTTGAAATGTGGAATGACTCCTCCCATACAACTGGGCATATTCAACATTACATCCTGATCAGACATTGCCATCTTCATCGCTTCAACTTCTTCTCGTTTTTGAGCTTTTTGCCATGGAAGTCCTCCATTGAGCTCAATGAGCACATATAGGAGAGACCAAATATCATCAACACGACCTTGTTCTTTTCTCAAATGAACATTTGGTGATGTATAACGAAGCGTCCCACGAAACTCGGCAGAGCCACGAGCACGGCGAGCCGTCCAGGATTTGTTGTGCTCGCTCTGGAAGTTTCGTTGAATTTAAAGGTGGGGGGACAGGAGATTTTACGGGGGATTTTTGGGGCCAGAGTATGCATTCTACCGTGACGGTGTACAACGCTTAACGCCACTCTGCGTACAGCTGTCGCCCTCGCCTTTATGTATGCAATCGGGTGACCGCTTTCTCTTTGCCCGCGTGGCTCAGTCGGTAGTGGCGCCGCACCCTCAATCCTCGCCCCACACGTTCAACTCCTCGAGGGGCATATTTAAACGAAATTTCGAGAACATTATTTTTTTCATGTCCCCCCACCTTTAAGGAATTTATCTTATCTGGATTAATTCGTACAAAAAAGTTGTCAGCTACAAAATTTAAGCTCTATATGATATAGATTATATCTCTTTAGTAGACTTGTCAATTTTTACAGTATTATCCAACACAAAGTTGAGGCCTACTGTAGGTCACCGCGTATCAGCCAAAAAGTGGATGTTGGGTTCGAGTGCAGCGCAAGAATTGAAATGAGTATAAACATGACTAGGTTCCTCTCACATTGGGTCTCACCACGAAAACCACAGTAACTGAAATGGGCGGAGCCGTGACTTGCTCATACTCATTTTGAAGAATTTTTACGCTGCTTCTGAATAATGTGTTTAAAACTGATTTGGCAGAACAATGCAAAATTTACATGTTCTAAAAACTCACATATCTAGCAAATGACCTAGCCAATCCGAAATCCAGAATATGCACAATTCTAGCTCTCTCCTTATCATCCTCGTTTCCCATCATAAAATTCTGTGGTTTGATATCCCGATGAACGAATCCACAGTCGTGCATATACTTCAATGCATACAGACATTGAATCCCAATTCTGGACCATGTGCCACGTGTCAATCTCTCCTTGGGTCGTTTCATTCGAAGCGATTTTAAATTTTCACCCAAAAGTGTCATGACCATATAACAGTACTTCTTTCGTTTGGCAGCCACGTGCAGTTGTGGGACATGCGGTTTCGGACCATTTTTGTTTAGTTTTTTGAGAATTAGAGATTCCAATTTGATCGCTGATCCACCCTCAACTTCATTTGATTCCGCTTTTAGAGCAGCTCGTTTTCCATCGTCCGTTTTTACAAGATACACTTGACCAAAGCCTCCTTCATCTAGAGTTTTGTCTATGATCCACGGACCGAAACTGAATTTAGAATTTTAAAATTTTGGAAAATTGGGCTTTTTTGAATTTTTGAATTTTCAAATTTTCCGAATTTTTTAATTTTTGAATTTCTGAATTTCCGATTTTCCGAATTTTTCAATTTTTCAATTATTCAAGTTTTCGAATTTTTCAATTTTGCAATTTCAAAATCTTTTTATTTTCAGGTTTTTTTATTTGTGAAAAAAGTCCAATAGAGCGCTCTTACCGCTTGCCTGGCTTGAATTTTACTGCGTCCATCGGATCCTTCTCGTCCACCTTCTCCTCTTTTTTCTCATTCTCGTTCGTCATGCTTTCTTCTTTTTCAAGGCTACTTTTTTCTTTTCACCTGTCTGACAGGATGTCTCTGAATTTTTTTTGTTTTGCTTTTTTAGAGCCTAGGAAGAGCTTACCTTTGAGACAACTTTCGAAACTGAGCTTTTGGATTTCTAGATTTCCCCAATTTGCGATTTTAATGTTTTTTGGAAGAATAAATGGATGGTTAGGGTTCACGGGGGGAGCAATTTTCAGTTATTGGGATTATAGAAAGTAGGTCAAATTCCTGGTATCGTATTCATCGCTCTCTAATAAAAAAATCTTGAATCCCTCATAACTTCGTTCTCACTCATTCAAACCTGTTTTTGGCACAATATTCTGAATGAGCTTCAAAAATGCTTAAAAACTAGTATACGCACGACATAGCTCCGCCCATTTTGATTTTGTCCCCGGGTTACTGTAGTTTTCGTGGTGGGACCTTATTGTGTTTATACTCATTTTGGAAGATTTTTTGCAATGAACATAGAATCCTAGTGATTTTGAGAAAAAAACTACTCGAGTTCTAATAAATAACATAGAAAAAACAACAGACATTTTTTATTCAAAATTCAACAACAACAAAAACAAAACCAGTCAAACACCAAATTTTCGTTCTTTTTCGAGAAGAAGATCCATACTTTTTAGGAACAATTCTTCCCAGACAGACGTGTCCAAATCCGAATGATTCGATGGAATAACATAGCGGAGATCATTATATGTTTTGACTTCGGACAAAAACTTTTTCTGAAAAACGTTTTATGGTAATTTACAGAACTCCGCCCCCAAAAAACCTTGAGGCCATCCAGTTTGAATTGGAGTGAAAGCTGGAATTTCTCATTTAATGATCGGCTTGAATGCTCAATCAAAAAATCTTGGCACCGGAATCTTGCAGTTTTCGAGTCGTACATATCAGCAAGTTTCAGAATTCCCATGACAGTATCGTCTGGAATAACACTCACATTATGCAAACGCGCTCTTTCGCATATCGGGATAATTACCATCAACAAAAGCTTCTCCGTAAATCAAATCTAGAAAATTCTGGAAATCCCAAGAACCGATATCCTTTAACTCGATCTCTGATTTTTCGGATTCTTCAAACTTTCCGAGAAATAATGTTTTGAAATATAAAGAGTGGAAAGCAAAGAGGTACTGAAATTAAAAAATTCGAGAAAAAAAAATTGAACTGAAATTTCAGAACTTCAAAGCAGACTTTGAAAACGGATGTATAGGTTTTCGACTATGCTCTTTCGATCTATGTAGGTGGTTTCTGCTAACTCCTACCTTCACTTAAAAGGTTCCCTTGTTAACGGTCAACTTCGAACCAACTTATCTCGTTTCCTGTAAAAGATATCAAAAAGTAGCTAACTGATAAAATGTTCATCATATTATCAAAATTGTTTTGCTAGTTGACCATTTTTTGATATCTTTCACAGAAAATGAGAGTAATAGGTGCAAAGTTGATGATGAAGAGGAACAAGACGATGGAGCACCAAGAGACATGTTGAGCACATACCACGTCATCTCCAGTGAACACTCCAGCGAAGCCGAAGACTCCACCGCCCAAGCAATACCGGAAGTCTACTCGGATTATCAACCAACCTCCACGTTTGGTCATGAAGCCTAATCAAAAGTCTTATCATTGATTTTTGTTCCGTTTATTTCTAGATTAAGTTTGTAGTCTGCCCCCCCCCCCCCCCCCCCACTTAATCATCCTTTCCCTTATCCTAGTTCCATCTTAAAAAGGGAGGTGTTGCATTCTATGCATACTTCCATTAGTTTTATATTTGATCTACCAAATTATTTGTGATCTACCCACCTAAGAACCCTTCTCTGGCACTCTTCTTCTTAGTTGTTTCATTGGTCAGAACCCCTCTTTCTTTGGGGCTGACAACCATTCTCGGTCTGTCCTAGTCTCTCCCAGCCTTCTCTACTTTTCCCCCTCTATTCTCGTACATCTTTAGTACCTGAATAAATCTGTATTCTATAACTACTATTCGTATTCCTTGAGCCGGCCAGAATGCCGGATCCTAAGGACGTAACAGTTCCAATCCGGGACAGTTCGACACCGCACAGTTCGAATTTGTAGCAGTTCGATTCTGTTCTTGTTCTGTTCTGGGCGTGTTCGAAAAAGGGACAGTTCTAATTCGAATGAGTTCGATTACGGGAAAGTTCGAATTCATCGTACCCTCATTTTTCCAGAAAAATGAGATTCATCAATAAGAAAATTGTGTAGAGTATCAAAGTAGTAATCAACAAAAGAAATGAAATTAAGGTGGTATTTTACAACGGGGATGAGTGATAAAAATGAGAGTGAGCATGAGAAATTTCAGGAAATTATAGGAAAAAACATTTAAAATTCAATGTGAAGGACGATCGGAGCATGGTCGCTTCCCTTGACATCCGACATGATTTCGCTTTTTTTGACCTGAAAACACAGGAAATCAAAATTATCTGGCGACCGCAACACAGACACGCGACGCGTCTCACCTTCTCCATGATGCGATCGCTGACAACATAATAATCCAGTCGCCATCCGACATCCTTCTCTCTCGCATTCGCCAAGTAGCTCCAAAATGTGTACTTCTTCTCCTCAGGATGCATTTTTCTGAACGTATCCGTGAATCCCATCTCCAACATCTCCGTAAACCATCCTCTCTCCTGATCCGTGAATCCTGCCGTCTTATTTCGATTCGATTCGGGATTTTTCAAGTCAATTTCCTCGTGAGCCACATTCAAATCTCCTCCGTAGATCACTGGCTTCGTCATTGTCATTGATTTCAGCTTCTCTGTTAGAAGCGCCTCCCAGCGACCTCGTTTTTCAAGATTGACTAACTTTGCGCCGGAGTTAGGGACGTAGGATCCAACGAAGAAGAATTCCACGAACTCAGCGATGATAAGACGACCGGCGGTGTCGAATTCGGGGTCTCCGATTCCTTTGTGGATTTTCAGTGGAGCAACCTTGCTGAGCATTCCCACACCAGCATAGCCGCCATTCTTCTCCGTGGAAATCACCAGGGTTTTTGAGTAGTCCTGGAAATCAGATTAGCTTAGAAATTCGCGTCGAAGGCGCGCCAGATCCAAAATTTTGAATATTTTAATAATTTTTCAGGGGATTTCTAGGCTGATTTTAAAACTTTCTGGAGTCTTTAGGACGATTTTTTTAGCTTTAAAAATTCGAAAAAGGGGCGGAGCCTAATTTAAGCAGATGAGTTGAGAAAGTCGCGCCGAAGGCGCGACAGATACGCCAACTATGAGAATGTGAACTTGGCGGCAAAATGGAGGTCAGAAAAAACCCAATTTTTTATTTTTGGATTCAAAAATAGTGAGTCGCGCTGAAGGCGCCCCAGCTGTGGGAGCCTAACCTTAAACTTCTCTTCAATCTCATTTGGCCACTCCTTGCACTTGGTCTCTCCTAGAAAAACAATATCCGGCTGCTCCTTGAGAATCTCACTGAAATCGCTCTTCTTTACACACGCCCGAAGACCGGCGACATTCCAGCACACGAATTTCCACGACTTCTGACTTCCATCGTCAGCTGGAGCTAGCTTCTTGACTTTCTTTGTGAAAATCGAAGCGAGCTTTGGAGCGGATTCCAGGGAGGCTTTCCGCTTCGACATGTTTAGTATTATTGTTCTTAGCAGCTGCAAACGCAATCCTGTGACAATCCGAAGATTTTGAAAGCAAGAAACGCGAGTATGGCTTCCTAAAACCTTAAGCAACAACAAAAGCACACCACTATGGAAAAACATTGTCAACGGTTTATTTATTATCCTTCGAGAGATCTTACACAAGCAATAATAGAAACGCGATGATATGGAATGTTTAAAATTCTCTTTATGAGGTCGCGAGGAAGCGAGCTAATTTAAGATCTGTTGTTGGCGAGGTTGACGCGGAGTTGTCTTCCGTTGAAGTCGGCTCCGTTGAGCTCGTTGACAGCTCTTTGAGCGGATTGCTCGTCCGAGTACTCGACGAAGGCGAATCCTCTTGGGCGTCCAGTTTCGCGGTCGTAGACGATTCTGGAAGATGATGGATTAGGTCGAGGTTTCAATTCAATTAAGGTAGAGCATGAAAATGGGGCCTTTATTGATTACGCTCTTGACAGGCTTCCTCCAGCTGCCTCACGACACAGCCTCTAATTATGAATGTTGTGACGAGTGCGGGCACACTCGACACACCTAGAGATTGAGAAACAGGGCCGCGGCTTTTCCCGTAAAGGTACTTCTGCGATAGGTAGGACTCGGCGACCTAAGCTGCCCTGGAGGTTTTCGGGTGGCCGAACTTATTTACGAAGTAGCGGACTCATTGGTCCATGGTAACCTGCCCACGTCCTCATCACGACCGGTCGCGGCCCTGTTTTCGACAGCCTTGATGGCAAGTGCTAGGCACAACAAACTAGGCTACACTCTAGCCACCAAATTCAGCAGTCCTCAGGAAAGTGGTGTGGCATCTGGAGATGCGAAAAGCATTATAATATTACCTGACGTTGGTCACATTGCCCTTCTGGGAGAAGAAGTCTCCGATCTCTTGCTCGGTGCTTTGGAATGGAGCGTTTCCAACTGAAAAATGATAAGAATTGTGAAAAGGCCCAAAACTTTCAAAAAGAAACATTGGCCTAAAAAATAATTTTAAAGTCAGTTTTTTGGCCGCAAATAGGCTTATTCAGGCCAGAATTCAATGCTGAAAATTTCAGAATTATTCGCAACTCACCGTAAACAGAGTATCCACCAGACATTTCGATTTTAGGACGAAAGAATGAGCAGTGTTGGAAAGACGAGAGCTACCTTGACGTCGCGTGCAAACCGTGCCAGGGTTGCAAAAGAAGCGTGCCGCAGTTGCAAATTGCAAGCTCCGCCCACAATTATCGAACCTGGCGCCACTGCATTTTTCATACGTCATTTTTCGGCGGTTTCCTTCTGGAACGTCGTCTTTTCTTATCGATTTTTGATTGTTGAGCTGAAAAGGAACATTTTAAAGCAATTTTTAGACATTTTCCGTTGAAATTAGGTGAGAAAATATGATAAAACGAAAAAAAAATTAAATTAAGATTTTTGCGTCATTTTTCGCCTATTTCCGGTCTTCTGGAGTTCTAAAAAGCTTACGGAAGGCCGAAGCATGAATTTTTCATAATGAGCATCGTCAAATTCGGGGTCTTGCTCAATATTAACTGTGGAAAAGTTTATCATAGAAAATGTTTTTTCGTATAAATAAAGGCTTTCGCAACCAGTTTTCTCGTAATTTCTGGTTATTGAGCCGGAAAAAAAGGTTTTAAAGTGATTTTCAGAAAATTTCAGTTAAAATTAGGTTGGAAATTAGGGTTTTCCCCAATTTCCGGACTTCTGGAGTTCTAAAAAGCTTCTAGAAGGCCGAAGCATGAATTTTTTGGTAGTGAAAATTTTATGCTTTGCTCAGTGTCAAAATTTCATCAAATTCCTGCCACTATTTTCCTATTTTTCGAAGTTCAGAACCATGTTCAATCTCCAAAATCGAATCAACGGCAACGACGATGATCGTCAGTACCTGGAGACGCGTATAGCCGTTCGTGACAAGCTTCTCGCTCAAGGTGAGGTTTAAAAAGCTCTAGATAGCTCTAGAAACCTCTAGAAAGCTTTAGAACGCTCTGAATGCTTCTGAATGACCCCCTTAAACACCTTTTTTCTTACAGAAATGAAGGATCTCGAGAGCAGTCTTCGCAACCAAAACCAGAAGCTCTGGAATCTCCACGTCCCTTCTACATCGAAACTCCACGAACTGGACCTGACCGTCACCCCACAGGAGGGAATATACAAGGGCGGAAAGTTCCTTTTTAAGATCAACGTGCCACCAGAGTACAACAACATGCCACCGGTGTGTAAGTGCGTGACGAAGGTTTGGCACCCGAATATCAACGAGGACGGCTCTATCTGCTTGTCGATTCTCCGTCAGAATTCGTTGGATCAATTCGGATGGCGACCAACGCGAAACCTTCTGGAGGTTGTCCACGGACTGGTCGCTTTGTTCACCGATCTCATCGATTTCGACGATGCCCTCAACATCCAAGCCGCTCAACAGTACACCCAGAACAAGGAAGCCTTCAAGAACCGCGCTCGTGAATACATCCAAAGATACTGCTAATTTTATTATTTCCTATCACTTTCTAAATTCTTTCTGGTTTCTTTTTTTTGCCCACTTCCCTGTGTATGACTCTTTTAGCAGCTTATTCATAAAATTTTCATGTAACTTCAAGATTCTTGAACCAGGAAAAATGGGACAAGATGAGAATAATTTAGGATTTTCCAGGATTTAAAAACGTTTCAGATTTTGACATAAGTTAGAATAATAGAACATGAGATTTAGGAGATTGGCTTAATCTTGAAGTGGAGTCCGATGAGCGAGAAGACGAGGCACTTGAGATCCTGGACGAGATAGTAAAACGAGCGGAGACCATCCGGATCCTTCGAGTTGTTCACGTCGGCCAGCGCTCCGATCTTTCCAGTGGTGAACGAGATGTGCTCGTTCTTGTAGAGAATCTCGAGCTCCTGACGTCCGATCTTGTCTGGTTCTGGCCAGTTCTCGTCGTCCTCCTGCATGATTTCCGAGTCCTCGATGATGCGTTTCAGCTCGTTGAGCACCGACTCCGAGACTGTAGCCTCCTTGCGGATCATCGTGTCGTTTTTGTAGTTCGAGTTGTTGGCGTAGCGGAGAGCGCCGTTTGGACGGAACTCGAATTCCAGGAATTCGTGACCGAATTTTCCCTGGAAAAAAAAAGAATTTTAAGCTTGGAAGATCAAATTTTGACCCAAAAAGGTCTAAAAAATCAATATTTTTAAGCTCAAAAGTGTTAAAAACCGCATTAATAGGCTCGGAAAATCAAATTTGACCCAAAAATCGATATTTCTAGACTTTTAGCCATTTTTAATAGAAAATCACAAACCTTGTGTCCGACATAGTATCGAACGTAGAAATCGGTCGTCTTTTCCTCGTCGCCACTCATTCTGTAAACGAAAAATTGAAAAATTGGGTAAATAGGTGAAAAATGGAAATTCAAGTATTTCAACGACAAAACGCGGGTTATGACTGAAAAATGGTTGAAAATTCATCGAAAATCATATTTTTTGAAATAAATGTGTCAAAAATAATAATAATGCCAGGGAAAATCGATCAAATCAAAGAAAATAAGAGAGAATATTGACTGGTTGAGGGGATAGAAAATTCGAAATTCCATAAATTGTGCATTTATGCGTCGCGGTGTATGCACACAATGCACCGAGACTGACGACAACGTGCAATTGCGCGTCGCGGTGTTTGCACAGAATGCACCAAGATTGACGACCAAGGGGTGGAAAAAGCGATGAGATTCTTGTAAATTAAAGAGGAAAAGTGGGAAAATTATGTTTTTTTGTTTGGTGAAAATTGAAAGAAAAATAAAATAGGTACATAGATAGATTATTCCTCTCCATCGACACGTGTCTTTTTGGCGTCTTCTGATGCCTCTGTTTGGCTCTCGAATCGTTGGCGTTTATGCGTGTTTCTGGTGGCTTCCTGCTCGTCGTAGAATTCAGAAGCGTGCTCGATTCCGACATCTTGATCTAGCTGCGAGTTTCGGACATCGTCATCCTGATGGTCTCTTCTCAGATTCTCATCGAACGTCTTCACAATTCTATCAGAAGTCGTTGGAAGTGGCTGCATTTGCACTGACGGGACATGTGTCATTAATTTCAGATTGTCTAGAAGAGACACGATAGTTTGATCGATAAACTCTTGGGTGTTGTAGTTGGTGAGATGTGGGAGCGGCTTTATGTGTAGTTTGTAGTCTGGGATGAAGTAGTCAAAGTAGTCGTTGAAGGGGAGTTCTGGAAGGTTTTGGATTTTTCGGATTTTCTAGACCTGAAAATACCATTTGGGACATCCAAATCCAGCGCCAGCGACGTCTCATACAACCAGCACCTCGAAACATTGCGAATCGTGTATCCACCGCCTCCAACCAAAAGCAACGGGACGTTGAACGACTTCATGTATTCCACACAGTTTCCATGTCCATAGGTAGTCAAATTGAACACTCCCAAACGATCTCCGGCGAGTGAATCAGCTCCACATTGAAGGACGACGGCTTCTGGTTGGAATCTGGCCATGACTTCTCCCATGACTGTCCGGAAGATTCGTTCGTAGGTGAAATCGTCGACACCGTCACGGAGGGGGACGTTCAGCGCGTAGTATTTCCCTTTTCCAGCGCCGACGTCTGGAAAATTGGTCTTTTAGGTTTTTGGTACTGCTTAGCAGTAGTAAAATTGCTGAAAATAGCCTGAATTTGCTTAGCAGTGGTAAAATACAATTTTGCACCTGCCAATCAGTAGTAAAACCAGTCGGTTTACGCCCCTTCGGGGCTAAACCTCCTGGCCCCCGCTTACGATACCCGCAATCTTATAAAAAGGTTCCGTCACTTTTACGGAGGCTATTTTTTAAGGCCTATGCTCACAAATTTGAAAATTAAGAAATTTTGAAAGTTGGGAAGTTCAGATATTCAGTAGTTCAGAAATTGAGAAATTGAGAAATTCGGAAGTTCAGAAATTCAGAATTTCAAGGAATCAGAAATTCGGCAATCCAGAAATTTTGAGGGATTCATGATTCAGAAATTCTGATTTATGGAAATTCCAAATTTCTGAGTTTCTGAAGTTCTGAAATTCTGAATTTCTGATTTTTCTTGAGATTCGGAAGCTTTGATTTTCGGTTTTTCGAATTTCCGAATTACCAAATTTGGATTTTCGGAAATGCAAGAACTTAATTTAAAGGTGGACTCCGACCAAAATGTTTTATTACATTAAAATGTTCGAAAAGTTGTCTATTTTCCCAATATTATAGCGAAAAACTTTGAAAATTATCCGAAATCCCCGAAAAATACCGTTAAAAGCGAAAAATTTTCAAAAAAAGTTGTTAGGAAGGACATTCACGAATTCCTAATTTGTTGTTATTTTCAAAATGAAAAATATTTGAGATTTTTTGAATTTCCGAATTTCGAAATTAGGATTTTCCGAAATTCAAAAACTCAGAAATTCAGGTAACCAAATATTTGGAAATTGAAGTGCTCGAGTAGTCAGAAATTGGGAATCCGAAAATTTACACATTTTAACATTTTGGAATTTGGAAACTTATTATTTCAAAGATCCAGGTTTCTAAAGTTTCAGCATTTAAAAAATTTGCAAAGTTTGGAAATTCAAAACCACTGAAAGATTTTGATTTCTTAAAGTTTGAAATATTTCGATTTCTTAAAACTTAAAGCCTAAGAAATTCAAAGACTACATTAAACCCTTTTGTATTGATCTTTAAGGGAGCTTGTCTTTTTCTCAGATTTCTTATCATAATTTTTTCTTCCTTTCAAATCTTCAGAACTCAGTCTCCAGAAGACGTCAGAAGCAAAATTTCACAAATCAAAATAGACGGGCATCATCTCACTGCTATTTCGGGTTATCTGTGAAAATTTGGGAAATTTTGGTCCAGTGGTGACTTCGCTAGGGTCCCGGAACCGGGAACACCGGACACACACACAGAATTTGGTGATTGTTAATAGTAAAGATTTTTAGCACAGAAAAATGATTTGGAAATCATGAAAAATGATATAGAAATTATGAAAAAATGACATAGAAATCGTGAAAAATGAAATTTTCTGAATGTTTTAATGATTTTAAATGCTGAAACTATAGAAACCTTGATCTTTGAAATAATAAGTTTCCAAATTCCAAAATGTTAAAATGTGTAAATTTTCGCATTCCCAATTTCTGACTACTCGAGCACTTCAATTTCCAAATATTTGGTTACCTGAATTTCTGAGTTTTTGAATTTCGGAAAATCCTAATTTCGAAATTCGGAAATTCAAAAAATCTCAAATATTTTTCATTTTGAAAATAACAACAAATTAGGAATTCATGAATGCTGAAATGCAAAAAATTCGCGAAACTCGAGAATTCTGAAGTTCAGAAAGGCAGAATCTCAAAAAAAAAAAAATCAGAAAACCAGAAATTAAGAGTCTCAAAAACTAAAATTTCTTAAAGGGGGACTCCGACCAAAAATTTTTATTGCATTAAAATGTTTCAAAAAATATGCATGTTCCTAATATCATGGCGAAAAATTTCGAAAAAAAATCCTAAATCCCCGAAAAACGGCGTTGAAAAAAAAAGTGAAAATGGCTTGAAACGGCTCAAAAGAAGCCTGACAAATGACCAAAAATTAGCTAAATTGTTAGTTTTGAAGTGTAAAATGAGCCAAAAATGATGAAAATAGAGATTTCGGTACTGCCCGACAGTGTCAAATTTCGATTTTACTACTGCTTGGCAGGTGTAAAAATGAATTTTGGTACTGCTAACTAGGGAAGGTTGTAAACGGGGGGTGGAACGTCGGTATGAGACCTATATCATCCGAAAGCTGAGAATGAGAAATTTTCAAATATGTATTCAGATTTTGCTGAAGAGCTACCATTTTCGAGAAAATCAGGTTCGAAATCTGAGAAATTGCAAAAGCAAAGGGGACCCCATGGTGATTTTTTTTGCGAAATTTTTTTTTTCGAAAAAAACTTGAAAACTTCAGGGGATCATTCTTTTTTATTAGAAAAACATATGAACTGTTTATGTTATATGCTTTGAAAAACGTTTTTTGAATCATTTTTCAAACTACATTCTGATTTTTGAGAGGAATAAAATTGATGGTTGATGAAAGATTTTGAAAGTTTTTTTGATTGTCATTACAATTTCAAATGTTCCTCTATGATTTGGAAAAGCTTCCTAGATTTTCCAGAAAAGAAATTTTTGAAGGAAAATATCCCTGGGGAACTACTTGGCATTTTCAAACTATTTTTCGAAAAATATTCAAATGTGCTAAAATGAATTTTAAACAAACAGAAACGATAAAATGAGTCTTTTAACAAGATCTGGAAGCTTTATTCTTTTCGGAATCTTTTAATATTTTTTCGATTATCCTACAATCCATATTTTTTCGGTAATCACCCAGTAGTACTCAAAACTTGAGAAAAAACATAGATTCACATTATCTCGCATTGATTTATCACTGTACAACCCCAATAATGAACAAATCTTGTGGATTTTGAAATAAAAAACTGAAAAAAGATTTTTAGTGATGCTTCAAAAAATTATGGAAAAAGTTATGGAGTATGTACTTTTCAAAATTTGTCAAAAAGTAAAAAATAAGTATCCAATTGAAATTTTTCTTTGAAAAAAAAATGCGTTGATAGCATTTTGAAGATCGCCACAAAACCCAAAAATAAAAAATCAAAAAACAATAACGGGAAGAGGAATCGAACCTACAACCGGTTGGATACTCTTCATCCCTTCTCGCCACTACACCACTGCTCGCTATTTATTTCCCTCCCCTCATTCTATATAGGGGAGGCGCGGCGCCCTTAAGAGTTAAATTTGAGCCAAATTTGACACTTGATTTTCTCGAAACTGGTAGCTCTTTAGCAAAATCTGAATACATATTTGAAAATCTCTCATTCTCAGCTTTCGAATGATATAAGTTTCATACCAAAGTTCCACCCCTCGTTTACAACCTTCCCTAGCAGTAGCAAATGTTGGTTTTAGGCACGTTTTTAAGCCGTTTCAAGCCATTTTCACCCAATTTTCACGATTTTTGGCCTTTTCTCACCTTTCAAATCTCCAGTGCCTGGAAAATACTCTCCATGCTTGTGAAATGACACCGTCATCACTCGATCCGTCGTATAAAACGCCTCTTCGACACCATCCCCGTGATGAACATCAATATCAATGTACAGTACTCTTTTGTGCTCTTTCAGTAGCTCCAGAATCGCCAAAACAATGTCATTGGAGTAGCAGAATCCAGAAGCCTCGGATTTTTTCGCATGATGAAGACCACCCATCCAGTTAATGGCGATGTCTGATTCTTTTCGATTTAGCTTCGCTGCAGCGGCCAGAGATCCACCACAAGACAGTTGGCAGAATTCATAGAGACCGTCGAATACAGGACAATCCTCTCCGACTGAGAAACGAGCCATTTGGTCAGCCAGCGATTGGATATTATCAGATCTGACGCTGCGGAGGAAGTTTACGTAGTCGTCAGAGTGATAACGAGTGATTTCGGAGAAGGAAGCAGGCGCGGGACGCTGAAAATGAGCCAAAATTCTTTGAAATTGGACACTGCAGTTCCAAAATCTGGCAGTAGCAAAATTTAGCAGTACCAAAACCTGGATAAGCAGTACCAAAGTCATACTTTAGCTGGCAAAAAAATGGTGATTTTTCAAGCTTTTAACTTTCTTTTTTAGCTAAAATTCCTTCTTTTTTGCCATATTTCAGCTCTAAGACTGTCATAAGCTGGAAAATCGATTTTTAGGCCATTTTTTTCAATTTTTCGCAAAATTTTCGCCAATTTTTCCGTTTTTTCCGGTATTTTCTCGATTTTTCCCTACAATTTTTCTTTTTCTTACCATTACAGTGAGCTTCCGATACAATCCGTAATTTACAATCAAACTGTGTGTCATCCGAACTCGATGGGGCTTCATCGGATGCCCTTGGCCATAATAGAAATTTCCGAAATCCCCATCGTAATAATAGGAAACGCGGGACTTTGAATGCAGTAGTTTGTTCGTCATTTTGTGATGATTAGTGGCTGGAAATTTTGATTTTCCAAAACTTGAATTTTTGAAAAATTATTTTTAAAAAACGAAAAAAATTTTAAGCTGAAAAATCTGAAAATTACGAATATTTGGGGAGATAAAACCAATCTAAAACGAATTTTTAAGTACTATTTTACAAGAAAGACTTAAAATCCAATTCTTAAAACGCATTCATATAAATATCATAATTAGGGTCTATAAATTAATTTTTAAATATCGAAAATCTGATTTTTAGCATGAAAATTGGTGTAGAATCTTATTTTTCAAGGAAAAAACCAAGAAAATCCATTTTTTAGCTCCAGAAACGTTGAAAACCCAAAAATTTATTTCAAATTATTGGCGAAAATCGGCGAGGGACTAGTTTTTGCAGGCGCATTTTTCTAGGCCACCGGCGATTTTTGAAGGAAACATGAAGAAAAAAGAGTTTTTATGGAAAAGGAGGGATTTTCAGAGATATTAACCTGAAAAATACGAAAAAATGAGTAATTTTCATCCTAAAAATGCAGAAAAATTTGCGAAAGCTCAAAAAATCAATAAAACAGGGTCACCAAAAGAAAGAGAATCATCAATTAATTAGCAAATCAAGCCAAAACCGAGAGAAATTCAAATAAATATAATTTAAATTATTCAAAAAAATATACATAAAAAATTTAGGCATTTCTCTTGACCATTTTAGTCACAAATCCATCCAAAACGGGTCGAATCGGCTCTATAACATCTGGAATTTCAGCAATGCTCTTCTTGATTTCTCCAGCGAAATGTTGCTCGAATCGCCGGAATTCCTCTCTCAGCTGTAGTTCGTCATAGATTTTTCGGATTTTTTCAACTTTTTCTGGGTCTGAAGACCCAAAACTCTGCTTGAAATCCGCGATGAGCTGGGTAGAGATTTTCGGCGAAGAGTGCATTTTTTGAAGAGCCCTTACAGCCAACCACGTGCATTTTCCATCCTGAATATCCGTTCCGATCTTTCCAGTCACTTTTGGATCCCCATATACATCTAGAAAATCGTCTTGGGACTGGAAAAGGAATCCGATTTGATATGCAGCCTTTTTGACTGATCCGTGATAAGCCAGCACGTCGGAAATGATAAGAGCCATCTGGAGAGGATGGAAAACTGTATAGTGGGATGTCTTGTTCTCCACCATCAGTTCATAGCGGTCCCATGTGAAGGAGGCGATTTGGTTGACCGAGGAAGTGTCCAGGAACTGAATTTTTTTTCTTTCTTCATGATTTTGGTACTGCTGGGCAGGTGCAAAAGTCGTTTTTGGCGTACTTGTAAAATTCCGGGCCGGCCCGCCAAAGCCAGGGCCGGGCCTGAGGAACTTTTCAAGGCCAGGGCCCGCTCCGGAAGACCCGGTATCAAAAATTATGTATTGTTGAGCCAAATTTTGAGCTCTCAATATAATTTTCTCCATTTTTTTGTTATTTTGGATTGTTTGCCTGTTTGCTCTAAAAATATCGAAAAAACTCGAAAAAAATCACATAAGGGTCCCCCTTATATGTTTTCTGAAATTTTCAAAACTTGTGAAATGACAGGCCCGCCGGGCCGGGCATCCGAAATTTGGAAAAAAAGCCCGGCCCGTTACAAGTGTGGTTTTTGGTACTGCTTAGCAGTAGTAAAATTGGGATCAGCAGTAGAAAAGTTAGATTTTAATACTGCTAAGCAGTAGCAAATTTTCGATTTTGGTACTGCGTGGCAGTAGCAAATCCGCTAAAAAATTTTCCTACCTGCCCAATCAACGTCTTCTGCTTCGATTTTCGATATGCTTCACACAACCTATCCAAATTGATATGTCCTGGAAGTGCCAATCTCAGAATATCCTCCACAAACGAATCCATGATGAAGGCGTCGTTGATGGCTGACATGCCGACGCCTTCTCGCCGAAACCAGCACGGTTTGCCACGTCGCGTTTCAGAATTGTCCATTATGTCGTCGGCGATTAGGTAGAAGCTTTGGATCTGGAAGAAATGGGGTTCATGGAGAAATTGGAGACATTAGAAGGGTTTTTGATAGACCTTATTGCCTGGAAACACCACTCATCCAAAAAAAATCTGAAAAATGTTT